GCCATGAAAAATGTGTCATAGACCATGAAATCTGGTCTCCCCCTGTGAAATCTGGTCTTTTGTGTACTTTTACTCTATACTATAGGGATTTCACGGGGGGAGACCAGCATTTCTCAAACTGAGGGTCCCAACCCAAAAAAGGATCGGGGTGGGGGGGGGGTCGCATGGTTATTGTAGAAGATCACGGTATTGCCACCCTTACTTCTGCGCTGCCTTCAGGGCTGTGTGGCCGGAGAGTGGTGGCAGCTGACCAGGCGCCCAGCTCTCAAGGCGGCACCCCACCAGTAGCAGTGCAGCAATACCATACTATGCCACCCTTCCTTCTGCGCTGATGCCTTCAGAGTTGGGTCAGGACTCCTACAGTTACAACACTGTGAAATTTCAGATTTAAATATCTGAAATCATTAAATTTATGATTTTTAACATCCTATGACCCTGAAATTGGCCAAAATGGACCATGAATTTGGTAGGGCCATAGGTATAGTGCTTGAGGAGTTCACATTGATACTTGAAGAAATCTAAGTACAGAACTCACAACCAGTTTGGGGTTTGTGCCCTGGTTAGTAACAGTCTGCCCTGAGGTTCATACTCACATTTGTGAGCCACTCCAGACAGCCTGACACAGACATAGGTCAAATTTTTCAAAAATAGGGGCCTCAAGTTAGACTCTAAAGCATAAAATTCTCAAAAGTGCCTAAGTGTCTTTCAGTAGGATGCAAGCTCCTAAAATGACTTAGGTGCTTCTGAAATGGGATTTATGCTATTGGTATAAAAAGTCACTTGTTAGGCAAACTCAAATGCCATGAACAGAGGCAGCTAACAGAAAGGTTTCAGAGGGAGTATAGACAGGGAATGTGAGAGGCTTTCATTCCAGGTTTAGGTCTACACACGATTTCAAGATGGTCAGCAATGGAAAAGCGGTGGTGACCTATAATGGATGTGCCATGTTTTCTTTCCTGCCTGAAGCCAGAAGGGACTTCCTAAGCAAAAAGTGCAAGCCGGTGGCTGTGCTGGAGGAAAAGATTCTTGGATTGAAGAGGCAAGTAGAGACGCTACTGAGAATCAGAGATGCTGAGGAGTTCCTAGACAGCCAGGTTTGAGAGACATCAGTACCCTACGTTCAAGGAAGAAGGGAGCTGGTCAGTAAAGAGTTAGAAAGAGAGGAAATCAGAGAGGACCCCTCGCAGTTCGTAACCAGAGGCAAGAGGTCATGGCAGCATTCTTCAAAGTTGGAGACAGATGAGGATAGGTACGTTGTGGCCACCAGAGATAAGAGGACCAGGAGGAATTCCACACAGCAAGAAGATTCCAATTGATACTAGGTCCTCAATATGAAAACCGTGGAAGTTACCTCTCCTGAGCCATTTGGTACAAAGCATACCAGTTGGGTACACTTGTAGATGGTAGGTTGGCCCAACCTGTAAAAAAAACAAAGTTGCACACAACAGAGTTCTCCAACTGTCCAGGGAAGACAGACAATCTTTGCTGGGGATTCACTACTGAAGAATCGAAAGAATATTTGGCAAAGGACAAGCAGACAGCAGGACAGTGTGCTGTCTTCTCATAGCCAAGACATGAGATGTCACTCTGTGATTAAATAGACTTCTGAAGTTGACAAGTTAGGATCCACTGGTGATGGTTCTTATCAGCACTAATAAGACTGCCTTGTGGGATATCTCACAGATAGTTGATGACTTCAGGGATTTTGGACGGGTGCTGAAGAAGAATAATGTCCAAGTAATCTTCTCTGAGATCCCTCCTGTCCCATGACTGAAGAGAACCACTGGGCAGGTAAGTGGTAGAGGGTTTTGGTTTTGTGGAGCAATGGTCCACTTTCTGTGGGGAGAAATCGTTTAGATGGCCTCCACCTCAGTAGAAGGGGACCGAGTCTCCTCAGGGACAGGCTGGCTAAAGTAGTCACACGTGTGGTAAACTAATAATAAAAGGGGAGGGTAATTCTTTAATTGCCAGGTAACAAACAACAGGAATTGGAATTGCTCATTTATTAGCATAAGTTCAACCTAGTCAATATTACAGAAATCCGATAGAAAGACTTGCATGATTGGAATGTTAAAATCACTGGTTATGTTTTATTTAGGAAAGACTGAGTGAGCAAAAGGGGAGGGGAAGTAGCACTCTGTCAAAAATGGCATTTCCTGTTTCCAAGTCACTGATAATTCAGAAGAAAATTATCTTGCATACTTATCGATCGATGTTCTAACATAAAGCACAAGATGGGGTATCAGTTAGTGTCCGCTACAGAACACCAAATCACGCTAGGGAACAGGATAACTGGCTCCTTATGCACCTATCTATAATGTGTAGAGAAAAAAGCTGCATCATTATGGGGGACTTCAATCTGATTGACACACTCTGAAGGTCTCGTGCTGCCAGTATTAAAACTTCCTTGGAATTTCTACATGTGATAGATGCCTATTTCCTATTTTAAAAAGTATTTCAACCAACATGGGGGAATTCTATATTAGATTTAGTCTTGATAGATAAAAAGGAACTAATCACAGAACTGAAAATTAACAGTAGCTTGGGTACCTTAAGTATCATGATATTTTTAGTGTGGAAACAGAATAAAGTCCAGATCAGTTTATATATATATATATATATATATATATATATACATACACACACACACACACACACACACACACACACTCACTCACACTTGGTGTGTTAACAGGGCCAATTTCACAAAGCTGAAAA